CAATTACGCGCAGGTACAAGTCATGACCACGCACACAGCACATACTAGATAGACGCGGTTATGTACAACTCGTTAGTTTTCGGGTGACCAATCTGGGCGAACAACGCATTCAGCAGAGAACAATTACTCCGGGCAATTTTGACGCAACGACAGAAACATCTGTCGGCACACCAAGACGGATGACAACTCGGTTTCAAGTATCACAAATCTTTACTCTTGAAAATGACGAATAGAAACTGGAACCGCAAACGCATTTAATAACAGCGCCTACAGGATGTGCAATTGTGAGCGACAACAAGCGGCAGGGTCTTGAGCAATCAAGTCAATCCAGCTTACGTCAAAAATGGCGGGTTAATCCGGGCCCATCAATCTCGAGTGCGAGCTCGGAGGAGTAATGTTAGTTAACAAACGAGCAGCATAGTGAGTGGGGGAAGTCGATCGCCAGGTGTTTGGCGATGATTAGGATAGAGCTGAACTAATAAAGGCCTCATGTCTCATTCGAGCCGACAATTTCCCTCTTCGGCGCTCCTCTGTAGGAAGACCCGTCATAGCATAATATACGTTCCTCGTTTAAAGCAGAGTGAAGTTTTTCAACACTGCCGATCGATCTTCTACGCCCAGGGTTATCATCAGATCCTTTCAAGCATAGAAAGGACCAACATACAGTCCCGCCCACTTTCGTAGCAACTTACAGCTATGGCGCTCTGGGAGTAGGTATATCGTAATAACCGGCCGACTCTTGAGAGCCGTCGTCAATCTGATGTCCCAGGCTACTTGACAGTTTCACACAGCAAAGTCGATGAACTACGGTGGGTGGATAAGAACGAATAACTAGAAGGGAACTGCAAATAAAATTCGCCATGCGTCATAATGCCTTGGACGATATCCATGCATTTACAGCGCCACCTTTCGAAAGAACAGAACCTGACCACACATAAGCATTTTCTGCCTTACGAAAATTTCCCAAGCCCAGATTTCAGAGATTGCAATTTACGCGATCCTAAGTTCAGAAGCCAAACACTGTCTGTACACTTCTGCTTAGTGCCTCTATACAGTCCTACATTCTCTTGCAGCTACTATAATCGTCACGTAACGATACCGGATAATGGCTATCGCCACCCCTTTCGAACATCTAGACAAGACGCAAACGGAACCGAGTCCAAACAAGGAGATCTAGTTAACAACCAACACGAGCAAGGCAGTGCCAAGGAAGAGGTATTCCGTTGTCAATTCACTTTATGAGTTGTCATGCGCTGAAAAGCGTTCTTCTAATGCTGTGTTATTATATAGGAGAAGTTGAGCTGTTAAATTATTACTTTTCATGAGAATATGTACGGCCTGACTCACGCAGTTCACCCACACAACAGAACTCGCTGTGTGTAGGTACAGGAAAAACGCCGGGTATTATGCACACGCGAGGGTTCCAAGAATTCAGCGTCAGAATTATCGAGGATGCAAAGGCCCCTTCTAATGGGTGGATTGAGCACTCATTACCCACCCATATCTCAGCGCTGCCGATACCCGAGCCAGATCATTACATCTTCTATTGTGACGCCTCGGGGGTATCATTAGGCGCAGACTGCGCAGTACTGACCGCAGTAGCATACGGATGACGGCCGCGAGAGGGCCATATATACGCTATATTAGTGATAGCGAGCTCCGGACACAGAAACACGGTTGGGCGAATCCTTTTTGTAATTCGTAATAAAGAAGCGATGTGTGTTTCTTCGTTTTACAGCGTTAGAACTGAAACACCTGCTCTTTCTCATAACATCCAATATGCGACAATGGCACGTCGTAATGCACCATCGCGCCTGGAAATTTATTTTAGAGGCCAAAACTGTACGAATAATAAGTACCCAAGTTGACAAACGGCTGCGCGGCGATTGACGTTCGCTAAAGTTTCTATCCCAGTTCAATCTAACGCTAGGATACTAGGCGGAGCTCCGGAGCACGATACCAGCAGGACAATGAGCTTGAGCCGGTTTAAAGTGACGAGCCGGGACACCTCGCACTTTCACACGCGCCTGAGTCCCTCTCGCGCATCAACAAAACGGGAAACACTCCACCTCCAACCCCACCCGACCCACCCTACTGACATTGTACGTCCAGCCGCTAATTCACGTCCCAGACCCAGGTGAACGCTCGCCCCGCCGTGCGATGACCCGCGGGCCGATAGAAAAGTAGGCTCGCCAGGCAGAAATTCACAAGGCTGGAGCGACTCTCTCAGGTTTAGGCCGGCAGACCATGCAGGACACAACCGATCGTATTTACTGACACGGGTCAGGCACGCCCGCTAGCCTGATGACAGTTAGACATCACTGCAGCCTTAAGCGACTGTCGAGACCCGGACTTTGTGTCGTCGATACTTATATGT